GAAACCTGCCTGTCCCTTACCAGACGACTGGGGGCAGCTGCACAGTGTATGTGCGTGTGTGTGTGTGTGTGTGTGTGTGTGTGTGTGTGTGTGTGTGTGTGTGTGTGTGTGTGTGTGTGTGTGTGTTAGTCAATTTGCATTTGAGAAGATGGATAGTGAAAGGAGAATATATTGTCTGCATGTGTGTGTGTGTGTGTGTGTGTGTGTGTGTGTGTGTGTGTGTGTGTGTGTGTGTGTGTGTGTGTGTGTGTGTGTCACATGTTGGAGCTTGTGTTTGTGTGTTTGTGTGTTTGTGTTGTTTTCTCAGCCAGTTGTTGAGCTTGTAATTAAAGTCTGCATAATTTTACTTGGTGCAGAAATATGTAATAATTGGAAGGAAACAGCCCTGTCTCCTAAGGCCTGCAGTTTTAATCTTAATCTGTTTGTTATTGTACTTTTTTTTTTTTAGAACTAGTGATAAGGCATGAGGGGGATAAATTAAGATGGAAAGGAAGCTTCAAAGCAGGACACAAAGTCAACGGTCTCACAAAGGATAATACCAGAAGCCCACCAATGCTAGCTTTGGTCTATCAATAATAGCCGAAGTAGATTTTAGAATATTCTAACTTTTTCAAAATGTGTCAAACTTTTAAGTGATCTGATAATCCCCACTCATCAATAATGCAGGAGTTCAGTCATTTGAAATATTAATCATCATAAAGTACCAAAGTACTGAAAGGCTAAATTGATGGGACGATTCTGATCAGATGAGAGGGGAAAGCTCACTGAAAATGTCTTCGAAACTCACAAAACAGAGAACATGAAAATAAAATATAAATTGGGGTTTAGGAGAAAGTTGCTAATAAGCACGAGGCAAGTGCATTCTGGGATGGATGAGTTTCAGGGACAAATGACAATTATAGATGCGTTCAATGTCCGTCACTGCTGGCTCAAAGCAAACTGAGCTTTCGCTCTCAGCAGACACACACGCACAAAATATTTATTGACCTCAAACATGATACTTTGATCTAGACGTCTCAATCACATTTTCCTTTTGTCTCCGTCTGAATGACGCGATGAGAAGAAAAGGCCACGGTTTGAAACTAAAGCCTGCCAGACACTGTTACCGCTCCTTCAGATGACGTACCGTAGGAGCAACTAAGGAGCAATAATCATATGCAACAGCCATGTGAAATAATAATGGCGTGTGTGTGTGTGTGTGTGTGTGTGTGTGTGTGTGTGTGTGTGTGTGTGTGTGTGTGTGTGTGTGTGTGTGTGTGTGTGTGTGTGTGTGTGTGTGTGGGTGTGTGTGGTGTGTGTGTGTGTGTGTGTGTGTCACTACACTTCAGTTCAGTTTGGAGTGAGTGAATGAACTCAGGCAAAGCAAAGACGTTGTCATCAGATGTGAGTCAGCTGTGGTTTGTCTGCATCTCTCCTCTGTATCATGCATATATGCATGAGTGTCTCTATGTTGTGCATGTGCTTTGTGTGATGTGCACACAATGCAACATTTTGACTTCACCTGTGTTGGTGAAATTGTAAAGACATGTAAATCAGCACTTGCATATGTTTTGTCTGTGTTTGCTTTATCGGCCTGTACATGCAGTTTACCTGTGTGTGTGTGTGTGTGTGTGTGTGTGTGTGTGTGTGTGTGTGTGTGTGTGTGTGTGTGTGTGTGTGTGTGTGTGTGTGTGTGTGTGTGTGCTCAGAAGGCTCCCATTGGAATGAATTATTTAGAGGAGAGTCTCTTTTACTTATCCACGGTCGACTGGCTGCCGGCACGTAACGTTCTCCTCCTGACGACATAAGAGACTACGGTCACCACCCACCCCGATGTGATATGCCCCTATGTCACCCTTCAACCCCACCCTAACATATCCCAGCATGCTCCTGTGGTCCACTGCGGAATTCTTCATATTGCAGATTTGCTTTTTGGTAGATAAGATCCCTAACAACTGTAGAAAGAGTGAAACGGACATGTTTGAAGAGAGAGGGGAAAGTACAAGGTTTTTAATGTAATACCCAAGGTTTATACAAAATTGCCAAAAATGTGTAAAACAACTCAAGCATATAACATCATATGTTTATCAAAAGTATGATCCCAAAGAGCAACTGAAATTAGATCCGACACTCACACGTGCTGCGATAAGTCGGTCATTCTTGAGTCGTGCTATCCAGGAGCTTGATGCTAGCAATCGGTGTCAACAGTGAAGAATCGTTTAAAATATTCATACATGTGGCAGGCTCAATAATGTATTATCCCTCAATTTAGCACCCAAAGCTTTTGCTGTGCCCTGCTTCGGTCCAACCGCCCCATGTACTTGAAGCTTAATCATTCAAGAAAGATCTACAGCTGTGGCAAACTCACAACATTACAAATACCGATTTAAGTGTATAAAGCTATGTTGGGCAAACTCCCGTATTATATCTGTTCATTGATAAAGCAGAAAGTTGCAAGCAGCTATTGTCGCGATCGCGTTGCAAGCAGCTATTGTCTGC